CTTTCCCTTAGATTTATGTCCCCAAATGAATACACTGGGTCAGAGACCTTAATTAGTCCATCAGATTAAGAGTTTTATTTCTCATTAATCATTAGCATTCTTGTTTATTCATTGACTGTTTCCGAGTTTAAGTGAGAAGCAGCAGAAATCAGACCAGTTCTTTGCACATCTGGATCTGAAAAAGTGAAAACCAGATGTAGAAGGTAGTAAATTTATCATTGGGTCTGGGCAGTGAACAAGCTTTCCCCTCAGAGGCGGTTTTTATCAGCACGTCCCTTGCAGCTGTCACATCTGTCTGCTGAGCAGACTCTGCCTTGCTGATGAAATGTTCCTGTGTATACTTACATGTCATATAGAATAGCAGCCTGGACGTCACTCTAGGAAGGTAGCCTGGAAAAGGACATCCTTGGAAACCACCTCTAAGGACCATGCACTTCAAACAAAAACAAGAAAATAGTACCTGTCTCCTTAGATCTCTCGTTTTCTTGGTCATCTTATCGATTGCAATGTTTAGTGGATCTCCTTTTTCTTTCCTTCCAGTCTATTAAGAAAAAAGAAATAATTTCTGATTTAGAAAATTCAATGTGAGTGACAGTAAAGTTAAGAAAAAAATCAGATACACATTTGACTTGTAGAGTCCAAGTAACTTTAAAAAAATATATTTTTAATATACAAATACAAAGCTAGTATGATTTGGCCTCTAAATTTGATTTTCTCTGAAATAACAATTGATGAAAACTAACACATTCCCAGGATGGTTACACATACATCCACATTCAACTCCACGCAAATCCGTTTCCTTTCCTTCACCAGACATTTAGCGATTAAGCAAACACAAGGATGTTTTGTTTTTGTCTTAAAATACAAATGGTTTGTTCTTCTCTATTATGTAAGCACGCTTCTTCTGAATAGAAGATGACTGAGATGGTAAAAACTAAATTAGAAAAAAAAATTTCAGGTAAATGACCAGAATTCAGAATTTCACCCCAATATATCATAGGCCATATTGTAAGTTCTGTATCCAAATCAAAAGAGATGCTTTACTAGAAGATACAGTGTTTCTAATCTCTTCTGTCAGGCAGCCACATGCTAAACATGATAATAAGGAACCCACAGTTTGAGGTCATGAGGAAATTTTCTGTATGATTTTAACAGGCAGAGATAAAGGCAAACAAATAAAAAACAAACAAACAAACAAAAACCTTTAGTAAATTATTTACTTGGAAGTTCTGAAGTTTCACTAGTTTCTTTTCTTTTTTCTATTTTTTGATGGCTATATGGACACATGTAAAACTAAAGCAATTAAAACTGCACAAAACAGAATGTCTATTTTCTTTTAAAAACCATAACAGCAAACAACAAATCCCTGTGGATAAAAAGTCCCAGGGAACTGTATGAATGGCATTATATTCCCTTTAACAGAAAATTGTTCTCAAGAGCTTTGTCTCATCTATTAAATTATCTAAACTTCAGTCAAACACCCCACAGATGTATTTATTTATGGTCCTCATGGCAGTTTCTCTCATTTTTGTGCCATACTCAGTCTCTGTAAAATCATGTACGTCGCTGGAATAATTTGCATATATGATGAAATGAGACCCCCAGTCATAAATT